TTTTTAGATTCAGGCACCCCTCCATAACTTTTCTGAATTCAGTACTACTTCATTTAAAAATGCCCCCTCTCAGCTTTCATTTATTCTTTGACTACTGAAAAATAATATAGCAAAGAATTAAAAAAGACAGCAACAGGTCAGAATGTGTTTGATCCCTATTTGAAATCATCACACACAAGAGAAAGCATTACAAATTGCTTTCATGGAACATAGCTCAGGGGAAAAATGTTGTGAAGTATTCATTTTACAGAATTCCCCACTAGCAATAATGAAGCATCTAGATTTTCTTCTAAATAGTTCTGTCCTACTCCAAGATTGTAATATTTTTTTAAAACAAAAACAAAACATAAAGAACCTGGAGGGCAGAGAGTGGGAAGAATACTGCATTGTTACAATCCATAAGCAGAAGAGCACTTGTGGAATCTCCTTTTGAACGATGTAGCAAGTTGATGTTCATATTAAGAAATGGACCATAATTAAAATGACACCACAAAAATAGATATGGCCATTACTATTATATAACATACCCATATCATACTTTACACTTCCATAGCATTTTCAATCTTTAGAAATCTAAGATATTTACAAAAGGTGGAAAAGTAAATTTGACCTCACCTGATCAGATTTTCACCTGATCTCAACACTGAGCAGTACATCAAGTTCATCTACCTCTAATGAAGGGATACTTTCCTTATTTTATATCCCCTACTATGTCATGATTTCAGTGCAGCTTCTGGGATTCAGGTCCCAGATCTAACCTTTTGATCTAACCCCACCATTCACGGGCAGACAAGTTCTTTGGGTAGATGTGATATCTTTTATTAGACCAACTAATTGGAAAAAATGCTCTTTGTACGCTTTCGGGTACAAACACCCTTCTTCAGGCATACAGAGAGTCTTACTAACATACACATGCACCCACCCCCCAATCATACTCCCCGACACACACCTCCTACATAATATACAAGAGTAAGACTTTATTTTTGAACTGTTATACAATCACCTCTATATATGCTATGCAAACACACATAAATCAGGACAAAAATATTTTTTAAATAAAATTAAAATACGTTACAGCATGTGGGAAAGACTTACCTCAGCCGGATGAGGAGCGGAGCCGGCAGGACGCCACGCCGGAACTGGAGCATGGCACAAATGAAACCGTGGTGGACGGGAACACAGTGGCAAAAAAAAAAAGGAAAAAAAACTGCCGAGCCAGGAGAAGCTGGGACAGGCTCCCATGTCGGCGTGGGCACACTTTGTAGCTGGGGCCGATTTGCTGCCTAGACACCTGAAGCCAGGATAAAAAGCCCGGTGGGAACTCAGCAAGGGGGACCGGAAGTAAGGTCCCCAACCAGCCTGTAGGGGTCAGATCTAGAACACAGTCCCAGTGCAGGGACATGGTGGCTGCCCCAGGAAGGGGCTTTCTTAAGTAGTCAGAGCCAGAGACGGCTCCATAACTTCCGTGAGGAGACTCCATGGATATCAGATATCTACAGCACAGACTGGATCCCGGCAGGACTAAAAAGGGCAAGGACCAATGAACAACTGACCCATGGCAAGTATAAAGCCTGAATTGGGAGTGGGACGCCGGGGGACAGGACAGCCCGGGATCTGCAAGACGCATAAATAAGGCAAGGTGCAGTAGGGAATACTCAGATCGAACAATGTTCCGATCCCACTGTCATAAATTTAAAGGACCAAGACATCCAAAATGCACGTGGTACCAACTCTGATGGCCCAGGGAATAACTTCCTTGGTTGGTGCTAGGCAGGGTGTAGGGGAGGTGGAGCCCCGAGCAGGAAGGACAACCAGGACGACTGAAGGAAGGTACCAGGAGGGATGGGACAGACCATCTTCCTCCCCATTGTAATAATTTTCCAGCAAAGATGTGGCAGGCAAGACCCCTTGGGACACCAACCAAGGTACAACCCATTAACAAGCCTGTTTCTTCCTTAAAGTGACGGTGAAGCCGGAAAAGACCACACAAACTCGATGCACAGGTGAACAACATGGGAGACTACATAGTAGATGTTTGACTTTTGGTGTACGATTTGGGGTTTTTTCTGGTACCAAGATGGCAATTTCCACCCCTCCCCCCAAGAATACTTCTGGGGGCAAGGGGAAGGACTTCTGGTGGCAAAGATCAGGGGTTAGGGGGTGGGACTTCAGGTCCCAAGATGGTAACCAGGGGGCGGGGTAACTGTCAAGGGGCAGGGCTACTGTTACAGCTCTTGACAGCTCACCAAAACTCATTAAGGGGCCCTCCAGCCAAAATATTTGCCCACCCCTGATCTAACTCCACAGTAGATTAAATATTTGTGTCTTGCTTTAACACTGGAGATGGTAAGCTTGCAGAAACAGCAGCTAGTGCACGAGAGAAAAAGAAACAGGAAATTATGTATTCTATTAAACTTTTCAAAATAAATTGTTATTTTTGTTTTGTGGAAATACCATGTTTTTAAAATAAACTTTTAGAGGTTTTGTATTTTATATACATTTTTTTTCAGTTTTTCTACAAATACCCTGAAAATTTTGAATGAGAATACTTTAGGGGGAAAAAAAACATTTTTTTCCCCAAAAAGTTTTGATCAGAATATTTAGCCATCTTCATCCCTTTGAAAGGATCTGATGATATATAGTTTACTTCCTTTTTCAGTAAGGAGTAAAAAATATTTGTCTTTCATTTTGTATACAATTGCCTTTTACAAGCTATTTTCACATATACATATATATGCATCACGTTCACAGTATGAGTTTTGACTGCAAAATCCACAAGCTTTGTATGTGCATATTGTGTCTCTCACAAAGGAACTCTGATCTTATTTGGCATCCCTGTGCTATACTGTAATAAATATTAAACAATAAGCAGTATTTGGTATGTCAAAGCAACAGGTCACGTTAGTATAGTCTTCTTAGGGTGCAGAAGATAATTATAAAAAAAACTCCTACTAAACTTAGTAAGAAGTCAGCAGTGGCAATGATTCCAGCCAAATTTATTTCTGGTGTGGATTACTGATTTTTAGTCATGGAACTCTTGCCAGTACCCACTAATAGAAGAACTGGGGCATAATAAACAGATTGAAGGTGAGAGGAGAAAAATAGAAAGGAGACAATTTACTTGTTTTGTTTCTTTTTGCTGTTGACAGGAGTTCTAGTTTGGAGTGCTAATAACATAAAACAAACAAATAGTTTGGCAGTAAGGTACAACAAGTCAGTGTACTCCCCTTTTCAGTGGCGGGATATAAACTTTTTTTGCAGATTTCAGAAACAAGCTCTGTTTATCTTGAGGGAAGAGGAGGAAGAATATATGAGTTATCTGTGAAATCTATGTTCAAACTAGCTAGGGTTTGGCAGGTTTATCTGGAAGTAGTCACTGAGGCCCTAATCCTCCAATGAGTTTTACCCTTTCTCCCACCCAGAACACATCCCAGGATTGCCATCTTGAACACACTCCAAGTAAGCTGCTCACTTCACTTCATTAAGACTCACTGCATCTGGACATATTTGTCTAATAATGACCCCTTCTGATCCCTAAAGTATTGAGAATTGTTTTTTTAGGATGCAGTGACTTGTCCATTAACAACTGGACATGTTTCTAAATCTGAATAAGTCATGCAATCCGCAACTATTAGATTTATTGGTCCCTCAATTTAGTCTTCTGAACAGGTTCCCTAATAACACAATTTTCAAGTGCTTCTCCTTGGAGTAGCAAAGCATCCTTCCTTGATAGTTAGGGTGTGCATACAATTTTGAAGGACATCTGAGACGGACACACATGAGCACAACTCCCTTCTCTCCACGGATGAGCTGGGGCTGGCACCAGAGCAGCAACAGGAGTGTGAGCATGAGCTTGCTGCAAACCTTCCCCTCCCCCCGCCCCACACAGAGCCCAGAGCCAGCATCTACCAGCCACATCTGCAGCTGGAGCACACAGCTGGGCTGGGCCAAGTCGGTAAGTATGGGGTTCCTCCCCCTGGCACCAACTATAGCTCAGAGGTCTCCATTCCTCAGCAACGATTGGCACTGCTGTGATCCGGGCACCATGAGGACCCATCAAGGCACACCCCCCTATACACATGCCCCCCCATACACACATAAGTATGCCCCTCCCCTTGCACATGCATACACACACACACACGCACAACCTTGCAGCTCCCAGGAACCCTGATGGCAGGGTGGGATGGGACACCATGAAGCCCTGTGGACACAGAGAGCTTCCCCTCCCACTTCTGGCAGGCACCCAGGGCCACTATGTGCAGCCCATGCCTCGGTAGTGGTCCCAGTAGCAAGGCATGAGGTTGCTGGCAGCAGGTGGCCATATTGGCTCACCTTACACAGCTGCCTGAGCCCTGGCCCTAGCCTCCTCCCCTGGCCCAATCCTCACCCCAGGCAGTCCGCTGTCACCAGCTGCTGCTCAGAAGCTGGGATGGACAGGTGTGGGCAGGGTGGCACCATTCCTGGACTTTTGCTTCAATTTGCACTCACTGGTTGGTACAACTGGAGAGTCTATGAAATCCAGGACTGTCCCAGGCAAACCAGGACATATTCACACCCTATGGATAGGGGACCTAACAACTATCCAAAACGTCAGGCACAGCTAGAAGAAGGAACGTGCTGCTACATAAATAGGTATATAGGCAACCATTGATCCTCTGAATCATGGAGTACGTGTTAAGAGGTCGAGTCAGGTGCCTGATGAATCCGCTTGTGGCTGAAAAGCCCAGTTCAAGAATGACACAGCTTGTTAGAAGTTTCACAAATACGTGTGTTGTCCGAGTGGGAGTCCAAGTTTACAGCACAGTGCTTCTTTCTCTCTTGCTTTGCTTCCATCCACTGGATCAAAGCAGCTTCATATTGTTCTGCACCTAGCTCCAGGTGCTTCCTCCAGATCACATAGGAAGAGGCTATGTAAACACAAGGCCCTGTTGTTAATGTAGATATGCAGATTAAATTGGTTAGGACATTCATGACAGCACTGTACACAGAGACAATTTGTGTTTAATGTACAGTAGTAGTTATTTATTTAAAAATTCCTCTTTTCATGCTTTGTCTTGATATTCCAATAAATCGGTGTGGTACAGATGTCTTCACTGCACCAAGTTCCTTCAGTGTACAAATAAAAAAAAAGCTACCACAGCTGAGTGCTAAGAATAAATGCTTTTCTCCCCACCTCCTCATCTGGAGTATGAGAGCATATTCTACAGTCAAGAAATGGTTATGCTTCTTCTACAGGTTTATTTAAGTTTCAAGATTGGCAAAATAACCTGTTTCACATATTCCTGATGATTTTTTGCATTATGCTCAGCAGCCTGCTCACCCTAAGGGAAACAACAACATTGTTCACCCTTAATTGAATAACAAGATTACTTTACCTTAATCTGGGTTAATTACTGATTAAGGCGCTGATTCAGCAAGGTGCTTAAACACATGAATAGTTCAACTGAAGTCTGTGTGAATATCAAAAAGTAAACACGAGGTTTCTATTACCATTCACAGTTTCATTTACAACCCTGATATTTAGATGATAATTTAGTGTTGGGCAATCAGCTGTAAATTGTACTGTATTATCAGGATCCAGGCACGTCCTGTAATCATTTTCTCCTAGCACTATGGTGCATATAGCGGTTTACATAAGCACTTATCCTAAAGTTCAGCTTTACAGAGAAACACAGTTAACCTCAAAAAGGTCATGTTTATGTGATCCCTACCCCTCAGTCACATCGTTCCAAGTGACACCTTAAATTACATATGGGAGAGTCTAGTTTTATTGACTTTGCACACATTTGATAGCACTTTATGTAGCCAGTTGTACTGTTTCCCTTGTGAATTTTCACATATACATAAAGAGAAAAATATTGTTTAAAAACCGCACAGGAAAGCATGAGTGTGAAAGCCACAAGATCGCCAGCAAGATGCTGTACCAGATGCTATTTTTATTTTAAAAAGCCAAATAACTTCGGATAGACAGTGTAGGGCTAATGAACTTGCAGCATCAGAGGCAGAAGTCTTCTCTTCCATTAGATAGTTACTACAGATTGTATCATAACCTAGCAGGGATAAAGCGATGGCGGGCAGGGAGAAGGGTTTGGGAGGAATTGCGTAGAAATGTAAGAAAACATCTTGGTATCCCTGCTCCCACAATCTTTGGCTTCTTTACCAAGTCAAACAAGTTTGGTAGTGGTAGCTTCTCTGATGCAGACCCCTGCTCGTTAAGACAACAACCACCCCCAATTTAAAAAAAAATTTGGGTGGTGGCATCTTTCACTCATTCATGTGGACTGGATACGAAATCCTAGTGACCCAAACAGAAGTCACCCCATTTCCCAATCACTTCAGCCACTCTTGTCTTTGAATTGGTAGGCTAACAAGAGTTGGTTGGAGTGATGTTGAACGTAAATTCTGTAGTTAAAAAAAGTCAGTGCTGGCAGATCTCATTGGGCAGAAATCCAATTAAAGCTTACAGAAGCCTTGCCTGAATGATGACTGAAGATTGGCCCCATAAATGTAAATGGGAAATTAAAAAAAAAAGAAAAACCAAACTAAGCAAATAACCCCAACCCAAACATATGTAAACATATGTAAAACCAGATCAAAATGTTTCATCAGGTAAAAAAATTCTTTAAAGGCAGCTAACACTAGAGTGTTACCTTCAAAAATAAGACATACAAAATGCCTTCAAGTATTTGAAACAAGTACACATTAGGTAGTCTACCTCCTTAGCACTATGGGAGCACTTGGGCATACAAAACATTTAGGAACTATATAAGTTCAGCTTAAAGTTTTTGGCAGTTAGAATAATAGAAAATTAGGGTTGGAAGGGACCTCAGGAGGTCATCTAGTTCAACCCCATGCTCAAACCACAATCATCCCCCAACTAGATCATCTCAGCCATCCCAGTTCATGTTTTGAAAAGTTTATGCTTTTGCTGAAGATTCTCCTTATTTTATACCCTTCAAAAACATATTTTCTAAGCAATTCAGAGCCTAGGACAAAAATGCTAAAATCTGATCATTCAATTTTTCAATAATTTTCATTTTGGTCCTTACCCATAAAAGCATCCGCCAAAATACTGCTCCACCTCCACTCAGAGCATGTGCAGACACACACATACACCCACATACCCACACCCACATATGTTTAATAGCCAAATTTTCCAAATGGACTTGCAGTAGTTCAGCCAGTAGTAATTTTGATAAAGTCAGAGTTCTGCCTGAGAAAGACAGTGGGATTTGGACTTATATAGTAGCATAAATAAGGCGGGGGATGGGGGGGGGGGAAGAAGCAACTGGGGAAGCAGCCTTGGTGTTGCCTCTGTGTGTTTGGGGAATGGGAACACAAAAAAGCTGTGACCAGAGTACTGTTCTGGGTATCACATGGCTGCCCAGGGTACAGAACTGGCCAGCTATGCCTGTAGTCTTATGCTCTTAATAAGGAATGTATATCACATTAGAAATGTGTGCAGGCATACATGAGAAAAGGTGTGCCCCTCAACGAATTTAAGTGAATGCTAAAACTTCCCTTTTGCCTTTTTTAGAGAAACAATATCATTAAAAAAAAACCTTGCACTAAGACAAAAATCTATAATTATACCACAGAACTAAGGGCAGCAAAATACCTCCTCAAATGTGTTTCCTAGATTATGCTTTAGTATTTGACAAGTGAAGAAAACGGGCTATTAAAAATATACATGGGTTAAACACGTTCTATTCAGCATTTATTGCTCCTAGCGCTGTTCTTGATATGATTGCTAGTATACTTGTCTAACAAGTACTTTACATAAGGGAGTAGAGTCCCCAAAGAAAGTTTTTGCATTGGCAATATAGCTTCTCGCATAACGGGAGAAATACATACATAGGAACGGTACAAGTTTTTAAATATTCTGTTTACAAGTAGGCTTAAAGTAAACTTAGAAAAAGTTTTTTAGCATAATATATGCACAGAATAAGTATTTGCATAATTTAATTACTTATGGCTAATATCAAAGGCCTCTCTACCTACACTGAGTTAGCAGTGCTTATGGAAGGTGGTCTTAACCAGCATTTTATTTCCGCTTCCAGAAACATACCTGTTTCCAATTAATACAAATTGGATCAGGGTTTCTCTCCTTCCACTTTCAGCCTAAGCAGGCACTCAAGTTGAGACCTATGCTGCCATTATTCAGTGTTTACTAAAGAAGCATTAACCACAGTGGTATGTCACATTTTTACAGTGATCCAGTCATCTAATCAATATAACTTCTTGGTATCTAGCTAGAAGTAAAATGTAAATTAGATGTTTAGCCTAAAAATAAAAGCTTCCCAGTTGTACCACTTTCCTGTCCCATCCACACAAGTCAAAACTCTATGGATATTAGCAAACAGGAACAGAAAGTGAACAACAAGTTATCTGTACTGCTTCTATCTGGGAAAACATTTTGCTACAAGGCTTTAAAAATTAGAGGTGTCTTGGGAAACAAGAAGCCAAGCTTTGCCATTTTTATTCCTGGACCACTGTCTTAGCAAATATCATTTTATGCATGTCATTACCTGTGTTTACATCTTCTAGCACTGTTTTGTAAACAACTGATCATTTGATGTGCAAGTATCATAAGACAGCATAAAGTTTTATACACATGGTTCCACTTGGGTGCCATTCAGTTTGCTCTTGCTTTTGTTCTTAGAAAGAATTTTCTTGTTAAAGATGCGTGTTAGCGTTGCTCCCTTCTTTCGTGTTTCATCAGACACTGGCTGCTGCAAGTAAACAAGATCATTGTGCGATTGGCTCATTCCTGGATCCTTCTGATGGTGTCGGCGGCGGAAAAAGAGTTTTGCACTTTTTTTCAGAATTCCACCTGCATAAGTGAATGACAGAAAAAAAAAAATCGGGGAGATTTTAGGTAACCTTTGTTTTGGACCAAGGCCCAATTGTGTTTTTAAATAGAGTGGCACAGCTCCAGTTTAAAAACACAAACTGATCTTTAGTGTTTGCATTTAAGCTGCATCCTCTTGCACATTTGGTGCGCAAGATAGCTAGGAAACAAAGAATGCTGTGAGCTAATGTAAAAAATATTAAAAGTTCTACATGTTAGAGATCAATGCTACATCTGTTTTTGATTTTAGAAATATTTTTTCCACAATACTTAACTATTTGACAATGCAGGTAATGTACAGGCAAACTTAGCTAGATGCAAACTTTTTCAGTCCATACAAGGTGCATGCTACTGTATTTCCCCCACTTCTCCCATCTCATCCTTCCCAAGGAGTACACTGGGGAGTTCTAGCCTCTTAATTAGTGGAAATATATTTATTTGCTTCCCCTCACTCCATGCAAATGTTGTCATGCAAACAAACACTCTGACTGAGATTACAGTTATTATACACTTGCATAATAATTATAGTAAACAGTAAAGTCATAGAAGAAACAGTTAATCTACTGTAAGAGCAAAGAAGGATTCACTGATACTGTTGGGAGTACTAAAGAAAATGCCAGTTTGCTCTTGGTCCTCAAAGAAGGTGGGTGAATGAAAAGGAAGAAAAGCTACTGTAAAGAAATGGATTTAGGAAAAAATATTCTTATTTGTGACCTTCTGAATTCACCCACTTTTTAGAGCTAATCTGCAAGTTTTATAGGATTCTCTTCCCTACTTGCTTAGTGCCAGTTGCTCTTTCAAGGCCAGAAACACCACTTATGAATGTGCAACATTAACTGTGTGCTGCAACAATTCAGGAGTTTTGGGTCCTCTCATTTAATTTAGGTCTCAGTCTTTTAATACAGTTAAGTACAACAGGAAGCACAGCATGCGATGAGAAAGAGATAAGCAATGACCGGGAGAACACGTTCAAAAAGAGGGCAGTGGGGGAGGGCAGAGAGAGGAAACATATTCCACAAGCCACACCCAAGAGGTGTTTGCTATATTAGTGTTGATTTCTGCTGAAATAATAAGGGTATAACCAGTTATGCACAAAATAAAGGTGGCATTTTAATTCCAAATACAGGCTTGCAATGGCGTCTGCAAATAATGCCTTTTGATCAATGCTATGTTCAACATACATATACAAGTCAAATAATGTATTTCATGTCAGGTAGCCATGTCAGGTAGCCATACAGGGGCTACCTTTTCAGGCTGCGGGACAGAATGACTCAGTTTGGGTTAGAGGCAGGTAGCACATGAATGGCAGGCACTAGGAACCAGTTGGCACTGGCACCGGCACCGCTTTTCCCTGCAGTGGCAGAGGGGCCTTGGCAGCAGTTGCTTACCCCTGCCACCACATGGACACATGTCATCTGTGGACATTCCCCTCATGCCCCCTGTGGGGGATAAGTGGCAGCAGTGGGTGCTTTCCCTGTGCATCCACTGGGAAAAGCAGTGGTAGCAGCTTGGTTCTAGTGCCCACCCACACCGCACACAGCCTGCCTCTGACCTGAACTGAGTCAATCCGACTGCTAAAGCCCCACGTCTGTGGAAAGGGTCAAATGGTTCTGCAGGCTGCATCCAACCTGTGGTCTGTAGGTTGCCAAACCCTGTTCTAGATGTATCTGTCACCTTAGCCAGCTACAGATAATGTTGCCCAGCAGTTGCCACAATAAAAAGACCCATCTTCAGTCTGGGCTTACCCTTTTCCATGTTTGGGATCTGTCTCAGATTCCCTCCCCCAACAAAGAGCCGAGCCATTCTGCTCTGCTGTTAAAGTTCTTAATTCTTTGAAATGCTTCATGCATGGAAGTAAGAGCTTGACATCTGCCAGGGGACAGATTTCATGGTGGAATCAGGGACATGGATATTACAGTTCCCTGCAAAAACCACCTGAATTTGGCAAAAACTGAAAGTTTTGCGGTTGGCAAGTAGTGTTTCATTTTGCATATCCTCAGTACATACTCTTTAGAGTTCGGCAGCTCACTCCAACCCCACTCCAGACTCTTGTCAAGATGGGTTATTGAAGTGACAGGTAATGTTTTTATGTCCCAATCCTGTAAATCTTCCCCTCCCCACCCGCCCCTTTTTTTTGTGCATTTTTAATAAGGTAGCTTGAGTTGCTTATTAGTTTGAAACCTTTCCCTGGTAGCTATATCAAACCTGTTACATAGTCATTCCAAATATAACCAGAACCTCAAAGTAACTTCCTGTTCACAACACAGGTTATCAGTAAGCCTTTCATTACAAGAGCGTGGATTGTTTCTGGGAGCCGTTTAACAACAAAAATGTTAGAATTCTGTCTTCAATAAATGAATGTTACTAGCACAACTGAAACTGTGACATGAAGTACTAGCATGGAGTTAGCTGGTGCTGATACAGACCAGCACCAGCTGAATTGGTCTGAAGGTGAAGGTCTAGCAATCTAATTTTCAAATGACAACTATTTTGTGCAGAACTGACTAGTGACCTTTTCATCTATTCCTTCTTGGCAGACTTCCAGCAGATGGAAAACTGGTTCTCAAAATGAAGAAAACTTAGCATAACTTACTGGGGTCCCAGAAATCATGACATCCATCTAATGGAGCTCAGACTAGTACAAGAACAAAGTATGGTCTACACTGACAACTTTCCAATGCTTTTCAGTCACAACAGCTTGCATCCACGTCTCTAGCTCTGGCACCCATCACTATAGGATCTTCATGCCATTTGTTGTTGTTACTTACTGTGAATGTATAAACCAAAAAAGCCCAGAGAAGCCTTTGCATAATGCTGTACTGGAAATTAGCTGTGGCTGCTCCTACTGTTAATGGAATGTCTTTGTCTACAGACTTGTCCACATAGGAGCTTTTACACATAACTGTTGTGGAAAAAGATATCCCCCCCAACCACTGCATCCACACAGCAAGCTGTTCCCTATGTCGGTCAGAGCAACTGCTTACATATGGCAGGGATATACATGTGAAACACTACTTTGCTCTGCTACTGGGCACTGTGGGACTTGTCTTGTTTCCTTCAGGTATCCCACAGAGCACCACAACAGGAATTCTGGGACTTGGGGTCTAACACAGATTCTCAGGCTCCCTTTCCTGCCATCCTGAAACTCATCTGTTTGGCAAACTACTGCCACTCAAGCTGTTGTCAGCCAGTTTAAATAGGCTCCTGCTCTACTCTGTGATGCTAACTTGTTAACAAGCAGAACCTGATGGAGTTGTATGAGAATCATGCTACTGGGTGGCTTCAGCTCTGGAAGCCAGCTGCCACTCCACAAAGCAGTTTTGACCCCAGGAGCGGTGGGGCTGTGACAGTGCAGGGCTGTGACCAGCCCCAGCAACGCTGGTAGGGCACACAGCTGGGAGGGGAGCTGCTCCGGGGCTGGGATCTTGTGGCGGTGACTGTGTGGTCCTGAGCTGGGGCAGAGCTGCAATTCACTGCTTGCACACCTCTAAAGGGGTCTCCATATAAACCCGCCACAGTGATGCGGGCAGGGGCTGCTGGGAAATGGAGTCCGGCCGCTGGCCAGATCTGCCATTTTGCTCACCCCTGCCGTAAGTACTCCTCTAGCAGGTTCAGAAAGCATGTGGCCAACTGCTAGCTGGAGCCTCGCCACCCAACCGAGATCAGTCTGCAGATAAATTAAATTTAGCATGATCAGATCAACTGTTGGAGCTGTTGCCAGATGCATGCAGTGCTCTTAAAGTTTTATGGGGCAGATCACAAAGCTTCACATGCTCAGGAGGTTACTGCTGGGTTTCCATACTTGGGAGTTACTGAATTGTATTAGGGCAACTGCTGAGAACCAGGCATGCCTTGCTTCCAGAAAGACAGACAAATAGATGCACTTTGTGTAAGAAGTGAGCAGTGTGCTTTTAACATCTTATGAGTGAAAAGGCGATTATTGTAGCTTTTGTAATTGACACTTAGGTTAGTCATGGCTTCCAAGAGCTTTTGTTTAACAGTAAGCAACACAAAGAGTCAAGTAATTTGCTGTTATGAGATCATATTCCCTCAAATCACAGACAGATTTTTGGTCGGTTCCTAGATGCTACAGGGATGGGTGCTACAGAAATGTAAAGAGATGTCAGGAAATAGCAAGAACCACTCACATCTCTGCATTTGTTATTTTGAATCCAATAATCACGACCGGAGAGGGGCAGAGAGCTCTTCCTTTCTTTATATCCCCATGGTATTTGTACAGGCAATGGATTTACAGTTAAAATGATTTGCCATTATGGCCTACTCTGATAAGAGGTCTCAACGTAAAATACAAAATAAAAACATTTTTTTGAAGGGCAGGGGGACACAGGGAAGAAGAGAACAGAACACAAAGTTTTGCTTAACTTCTACAATAAGCATCTCAGTAAAGCTACGTTTTCTTTAAAAATATTAATATATTAAAGACAAGGCAAGAAGAACTTACTGTGTAGGCAATTAATTCTGGTTGGCATAGTAGTCCTCTTAAGTTTACAAAGGGAATGGGCAAGAAAGATGAAGTCAGAAAGGTAAGAAGTAAAAAAACTGAAATATGCAAGAGTAAAATAATAGTATGACTTTTTAACCATTAACACTATGTGATGTCTAAAAAAATAGAAAAAAATACATTTGGCAAATGCTCTCTCTCAAAATAACTGCAGAAGAGTTTAAAGACCAAAAAGCACGCAAAAGCAAAACTTTTCTTGAATTATCAAAACTAAAAATGAAAGCAGGTAAGGAGGGGAATCATGTTTCTGTTTTACTTCACAGAAATAATTATGCTGTCAGACAGCAAACATACAAGAGTATGAATCTGTAATGAACCATTTGCTTTGCTTTTCTGCTCAGCACGATACTGACATCCATGCACTATTGAAGAATGTGACACTTCACCTCAATGATGCACTGTACCTTTTAGCCTCTGTATTGCATCATGACGCTGCAATGCTTTTCCTTCATAAGAGAAGGTGAAATGCTGAGAACTATTATTTTAAATAGACTTCAAAAAAACATTCCCTTTACATTGGATTGTACAAAGATGAGAGTATTTCTGCATTTAAAGAAAACAAAGCTAAGCTACAATTGTTTGCTTGGGTTTATTAATTAATTAATTAATTTTCAGATAAGTTTTGCAAGAGTTCAGATGTTTAGTGAAATCACAGATACAGTAATTTCTAAATTACTAGGTCTCATCATGGTACAACTAAAGCACATGCAAAACACCATCTTCCTTTCTTCCACTAAGCTCTTCCTAGCCATTAGTATGTCAAATTACTCACTCAGCATGAGAGATTCAGGTCAGTGGAAAAAAAAAGGCATGGTGTGTTGGGGGTGGGGGGGAGAAACAAGACAGGAAAACCATGACTGAGTTGGAAAAACTCTAAGGCCCCTGGCAGACGTTCATGATCCCAGGCTCCCCCTGTACCAGGAAGTTGAAAGCATGGTACCTGGCAATCAGCTGATTGTCAGCTCGGCCAGGGACCAAACTAGAGACTGGGACCAGCCCTGGTGTCTCCACGGGTATGACAATCAGCTGATTTTTGTCTGGGTCCAGAGACTGCACTGGGGTCTGGAACATTTTTATGGCTCATTCCTCATTTTATGGCACCTTAAATCAGGTGTATGCATAGCGTCCTTCTTATTTATGCTGTGATTAACACCTTAATTGCAGAAGGAATATAACATGTAGAGGAAGCCTAAGATACACAGGAGATCTCTTTCAGATATCTCTCTGTTTGGGGGCAGACTTTTTAAATGGTATCTGTAAAGGCCAGGAAAAGAAGGCTTAACATGGGTGGGCTGCACAAGAATTGTGTTAGCTCCTAACATGCAGCCGTTAGACTTGTTTGTCATTAGTTAAGGGTTAGCAAGTGAGAAGGAGTCAATTGAACCAAATGCCCCCAGCACACCTTGTCTTTATTAGTCTCCATTTGACTATCCGTATACTCAGAACACAAGCAGTGAAACTGCTGCATTTCAGACATCAGTGGTAAGGAGAGGGAAGTGGGCTCGCAGGGGAAGAAAGGGTGTTGAGCCATAGGACCTCTTGGGTCACTTGCAGCCCATAGATACTTAATGGGCGTATCTACATGTGCATGTTAATGTGCTGCAATAAACTTCGGTGCTTATTGCACTACAGTATATTGCTCCTGGGCGCACATTTGCATGTGCACATGGGATCACAGCACGTTGAGCTGGGTTGGAGCAGCCCTGGCTGGCAAGAGGTCTGGTAGGGGGTCAGCCTGCCAGCCTGGGGCTGCTCCCCCCAGCTCAATGTGCTGTGGAGGGGCTGGCTGGGGCATGAGGGTACTTCAGCATGGGTCAAGCTGGCAGACAGCCTCCACACTGAAGCACCCTCATGCCCCAGCCTATCTGCATGTGAGCAGCAGCAGCAGAGTAAATTAGTTTACTCCAGCCTAATAGAGGTGCATGTGGAAACGCATGATGTTAACTGTGTAGCAAATTAGTTTACTGCACGGTAAATATCTAGTGTAGACATGCCCATTTAAGAAGAAACTATAACAGTTTGTCCCTTATTTAGAAAAAATAATCACAGCCTATGTTTCAATGTTTTAGTAGTCCTAATGCTTTAGAAAAGGACTAGAAGAAAATAAAAAAGCTAAAAAGGGAGAGAAGGAGAAACTGTTCAAATAGGTAATTTAATGTGTACAAGCAGCACTAAATGACTCAGGGATATGAGTATGCCTTTTGGGGGAGGGGTGTAGAATGGAGAAGTTACATACTTAGGAAAGATGGAGAGAGAGAGAGGAAGGAATAAGTAGTAACTGTGGATTTGTGCCATTGTCACCATCATACACATGGGCTTCCATTACTATAGGTCTAAATGGATAAGGATCAATTTGCATCAAGAAACTGGCAGTTTGGTCAGCAGCCTGATCAGACAAACCAGCTGGCTAGACTGGACTGAGAGGGAAATACCCTATTACTCCTGGTGTGTGTCTTTTCAATCCTTAAAAGAGGCAAAGTGCAGGGCACCTGCATTGTTCATGTTGTGGTTAAGTAGAGGACTCCAGTAATCAGGGCTATCATTTTGGTGCCTTTAATCAGAACCAAATCCACTCTGAGAAAAAAGGGAAGGAGGCATTGACTAGTACTGCTTGACACAGACCAGCTACAGGAGTCAGTTGTCTGATACCATACTAAGCATCTGTCAGAAGATGTCACCTACCTTTAGGTTTTTTCACACTCCCCGATTCGGAGACGCTTAATGAACTCCCAGACGTCTCTTCACAGTTCTGGTCTAACAGTGCGTCACTGTTCCATAGCTGGCTGCCATCATCCAAGCCCCAGGTGCTATGGTTACTTTCCTGTGGGTCAGTGTCAGGTAGTATTTGTGAAGCAGTCAGCGACAGCTTTTCATCTGAGGGGACTTCTGTGGTACAGTCCTCCACAGTGAAAGGGTCTTCTTTACACGAGCCATCCATGGCTGCTGCATAGTCCATCATCAGCGCAGCTTCGCTGTCCTGAGATAAGGAGGTCTGTCATGGAGTGGGGGGAAATAGGAGAAAGAAATACATAGAATGTTTTCTGGAGAAACAGTTTTCATCCCAAACTCTCATTATTTTTTTATGTTTCTATTTGCATTGCCCAGAGGCTGCCAGAAATCTAGCATTGTACTCTTTGCTCCTTCTTCCCAGCATGGAACTATATTAACTTTATCTTTAACAAATGAACTAGGCTTTGATTAGATCGGTAGTATTTACTTGAATCTAAATCAACCCTGAATTTAAGATGACCTCCCTTTCCAGGTATAGAATCCACAGCACGGAAAGCAGTGGCTGGAGGGGTCAGGTGACTAGGGGAGGCAGGAAGCCCCTTTGCCCTCTGTTCCGCGTCTTCCCCCTGCAGCCTTCCTGTCTCCACCTCCTGCCCCCGCCACCTGCACTCCCCACCTCCAGCTCCCCAGAGCCTCTGCCTCTCCCCACAGTATCTGCCTCTCCTCCCTGCCTTATTGTCAGACACTGATCAGGCTACAGTCCCTCCCCAGAGCACAGCACATAGAAGCGCAGCCCTTGCTAGCTGCATAGTAGTTGGTGCTGTTGATTGGCTCGGCAGGCAATGCAGCAGTGTCTGGGCAGGAGATGGAGTTTCCATGTGCTCTGTGCCAGGGAGGGAATCCAGCCCAAGTTGGAGCTGAGCTGCACCTGATAGTAAGGGGTGGGGGAGCTAGAAGTGCAAAGGGGAAACAGTTGTGTGTGTGGTGGGGGAGGATGCTGCTATGGTCTGACTCAGGCTGTGACTTTGTATGCAAAATCTAAGTTGAGGGGCTTTCTTCCCCATATTATGACTGAAGGAAAAACCTTGTCTTAGATTCGAGTAAATATGGTATATTTTATTTATACATGCACAGACATGCACACATACATACACACGCCTAGTCACCACTAGTCAGTATGGCTGCCTATACATGTGCTCACTGGCATTCTAATTAGAACAATTAATCGAGTCTGCTCCACATTCCAATTAGAATGCTTCAGCATTTCTAGCAGACACGGGGCTGGAAGGGATCTCGGAAGATCATCGAGTTCAGCCCCCTGCCCCAGGGGTAGGAAGTCAGCAGGGATCATGGGATCCCAGCAAGATAAACATCCTGATGTCTTTTGAAGGCGTTCAGTGTAGATGCTTGAACCACCTCCAGCTGCAGTCTATTCCAAACCTTGGGGGCTCGGACAGTAAAGAAGTTCTTCCTTATGTCCAGCCTGAAACGATCATGGAGGAGTTTGTGACCATTCAACCTTGTCATCCCTTGGGGCACTCTGGTGAACAGATGTTCCCCCAGGTCCTGATGAGCACCCCTGATAAACTTATAGGCGGCCACCAGATCACCCCTGAGCCTGCACTTTTCCAGGCTGAAGATTCCCATGGCTCTCAGCCTCTCTTCATAAGGTTTGCTTTCCTGACCTCTGATCATGCACGTGGCTCTTCTCTGCACCCTCTCAAGCTTCTCCACATCCTTTTTGAACTGTGGAGCCCAAAACTGGATGTAGTACTCCAGCTGCGGCCTCACCAAGGCTGAGTACAATGGGAGAATGACATCCTGGGATTTACTTGAGAAGCATCTGTGGATGCAAGCAAGCATTTTGCTTGCTTTACTAGCAGCAGTATCACACTGCAGGCTCATGTTCATCTTGTAGTCAATGATGACCCCCAAGTCCCTTCTGTCCATAGTGCCAGCCAGCATAGCACTGCTGAGCCTATATGGATGCTGCAGGTTTTTCTTCCCAAGGTGGAGAACCTTCCATTTTTCAGTGTTAAACACCATCAGGTTCTCATCTGCCCATTTCCTGAGCCTGTCAAGGTCAGCCTGGATTGCCCTCCTGTCCTCAGGTGTGAACGCTTTACCCCAGAGTTTGGTGTTGTCGGCAAACTTGGCCAGCCCGCTTCTGATACCAATGTCCACATCATTAATGAAGATGTTAAATAGTATAGGCCCAAGGACAGAGCCTTGGGGGACCCCACTGGTCACAGGGCACCATGATAAATGGCTTCCATCAATCACCACACTCCTCCTTTGTCCAGGTGATAGGTCACCTGGTTGTAGAAGGAAATGAGATTGGTCAAGCAAGACCTACCCGCAACAAACCCGTGCTGGCTATCCCTCAGAATGTTGCCATTGGCCAGTCTGTTAAGAATGGACTCTTTGATAATCTTTTCTAAGATCTTCCCTGGGATAGCGGTCAGGCTGATGGGCCTATAGTTTGCCAGATCCACTTTCCTCCCTTTCTTGAAGACAGGCACCACATTGGCCTTCTTCCAATCATTGGGCACCTCACCAGAGCACCAGAAATTCTCGAAAATCTGTGCCAGGGGCTGAGTTATGATGCTAGCCAGCTCCTTGAGTAGCCTGGGGTGTAAACTGTCAGGGCCAGCTGACTTGAAGGTGTCCAGCCTCTCAAGGTATTCCTTCATGAGGTCAGCATTGATGTGGGGTAAGGAGTCTCCTTCACCCAGGCCTCCCGGTCCCGTAATGGGCAAGGGTGTCCCATAGGACTGGTGAAGACCGCCGCAAAGTACCCATTTAACAAGTTGGCTTTTTCCTGGGTGTCAGTTGTCCCATCTGATTTAGCAGGGGTCCAATATTGTCCTTGCTTTTCCTCCAGCTCCCCACATATCTAAAAAAGGACTTTTTATTATCCTTGATACTTGTAGCTAGATGGAGTTCCCTTGCAGCCTTGGCTTTCCTGCTGCAGCATCATGTGTATTAAGCCCCCGCACGTTTTAAAATGGCCGTGGGGCACTTTATCTAAACCTCCTCAAATGAAGTTTAGATAAAGCGTCCCACAGCCATTTTTAAATGTGTGGGGGCTTAATACACAGGACAGTGAGGGTGAATTAGATATTACCCTCCCCCTACCACCTCTGAACACGTATATAGGCAGAATGAAACTTGCATAGCTGCAAATCCAAAGGAAGAAGTGAGAATAATGAAATTTATCAGCAAAATTATCCACTGGGTTGCACTGGGGTATGTGCTGCTTTTATAAACAACTTCTGTATTTTGTTCTTAAAATGTAATTCAACTTCCCCTCTTCCGGCTGCTGAACTCAGTTCTTCAGGTCTTGCCTCCTTTCCCACCCCCAATCCTTTGCAAATGTACATGTAGAGAAGGAATTAAAGCAAGACACATCAATTTTCACAAGACCTAAAGCGTGCTTAAAAACATAAGGAATGGACCCAACCAACCAGTTTTGCAACTTTATGGTTGCAAAGAAGGCTTTACAGATTAATATTAATCGATTCAGTTTTGCCATCATCACTTGTAACTTAATTCCCTGCACCACATTGGGGAAAAAAGGAAAGAGAAGCCAGAGCCTTATCAGTTCACATTGCTTCTCCTACATTCTCCCTCTTGTCCCAAGGGTTCTGAGAAATGGCAAACACTGCAGTACACTACCAAGCTGCTCTGCAGCTTGAAAAAGCTATGACAGGAAATGCACTGAAGCTATCTGAGCAGCAAGAAGGGAGATGGGAGTTAGGCAGGGCAGTCAAAAGGTCATATTGCGAGGGTGAGGGAGCTTTTAAAGAGAAAGCCTTCTCTTGTCCCACAGGCAAGAAGGGATGTGTTTGCACATTGTCAAAAGTCAAAGAACCTTTTAGAGGCAGATATAAAAAGCTGAAGCCCAACCAGAATCCAGGCACACTACACAGCTAAAACACTGTCACCAGCTGCTGGATTCCCAATAGGATGTTATCTCCACATTGGTCCTCCCAAACTCCTTAACATCCCTCTCCTCCACAAGATATTATTCTTTGCATAATAAGGCTACATATTAGGATTAACTTGAAACATTTCTTGAAGCAATGGACATTTATACATGTCCTCCGGGGGGACTTTAATTAGAGTGGCTTCAAGAGCTGCTCTAATTAAAGCATTTGTAGCATCACGTGTATCAGCATCACCACGCTGAAAAATAAATGAGCTTTAGTTAAGGCGCCCCTGCTGCGATTTTTCGGCACAGGGATGCTGATACACGTGACACCGGAGTCTGCTGGAGCATGGTAATTACCATGTTCCAGGACTCGATTAATGAAGTCTGCTCTGATGCACTGTAATTATAGCACATTGGAGCAGCCTCCCTGCATGTGTATAGGCACCCACTGAGACTATAAGCCTTTTTTTGGGGGGAGAGGAAAACATACCACAAGGTTGAATGGTGGAGATGAGAACATGTATTAAAGGGCACAAGTCTTTTCAGTACACAACATTAAACAAGACCATGATGTTCAACTCTACCTTGGACACTCCTGATATAATAATGGTGCTTTTCTTTCTAGGAGATTTCAGTTTCTGCTTTGCAGACTCACTTAACTGTCGAATGGCTGCTTCAGCAACTGGATCACTGCCATTCAACACCAGCAGCTCTGAAAAGAAAGGAAAGTGTTTATGGTGGGGGAAAAAAAAAAGAAGGCAAGAACTGAAGAACTGAGTTCAAAAGCAGGAAGAGGGGAGGTTGAATTGAATTTTAAGAAAAAAAATACAGAAGTTGTTTATACAAATTGCACGTACCCCAGTGCAATCCAATGGATCATTTTGCTGGTAAGTTTCATTATTCTCACTCCTTCCTTTAGATCTGGGGCTATGCACATTTAATTCTTCAGCTTCACATACAACTATTTGCAAAATGCCTGAAGTGGCCTTAAGGGTCTATGGAAACTCTAATTTTAAGTGTTTAATGTGCACATACTAGGCACAGCAGTGCAGGGACTGAATCTACTCCTCCTTCCTACCCTGATTTTGTCCTCAGGCCAACAGTTTCTTATCTTCCAGCAACTTCTTTGACTGCTGAAAGAGCAGCATAGCTAGCTATGCTGATTGCAGGCTGTCCTACATGCACTCTTGGCTACTCTGAGAGGAGGAAAATGCCACTGCATGTCTCATTTCAAGCTAGATATGATGATCTCATGAATCTTTCCAATTAGCAACTTCCATGACTCTTCTGAAGGATGTGATGGTTGTTGTGATGAGGAGTGACAATTTACTTTAAACGGAAGGAGCTACAAAATAGAATCCAGACTAAAGATCCCACAACCCACACCATGAATTTTAACATTTTTTATCTTGTATTAATCATGTGATTTATAAAGGTAGAAAAGCAGGCACAGCAAGGATACACAACTTGCCCAAGGTAATTCAACTGGGAAAAGAATCCAGCCTTTTGATTTTCATGTGCTACCTTCCATCAAGTTAAGCCCAAAGCATCCCTTCTGGTTGGCAGGCTTGGTACTAGCCCAGGTGGCAATTTCTGAAGTTTTCCCTCCCAGTTTCATGTATTGTAGCCTATGGTGGAAGGGGTTTAGCAGCTGTGGATTAGATGGTTTTGCCCCTTTTAAATTCCACAGCCTGACTGCTGCTCTTTTCCCTTCTCTCATAGCAGATGGTTTCTGAAAAACTAATTCCTGTCTTGACAGACGTCTGCTGTAACCCACTGTTCTTCCTCTCTCTGTGACCTCTGCTAACACAAACACTGCAGTACGTGATCAAAGGCAACAGCCTATGGGTGTGCTGTTTAATGGATTAGGTTAATCCAATACACAGCAGAGACATAGGTACACTAATTGCAAGCTTCAGATGTTTTCCTTTTACCTGTATCTGAAGATGATAAAGTTTTGCTGACTGGAGCACCATGACAGCTAATTGCTTGAACAGAAAAATCCTTCTCAATCACCTTCACCTTCACAGGAGTTTTCACAGGAGACTCTGAAGAAAAAAAAAGTTTCCCTATTATTTTTCTCTGGACACTTTAGCAGTAGTTATTTGTTCTACATGTCTGGAAAAAAAAGTTCTTCTCCCAATGTAAACTTAGCTTTTAGAAGAAGCCTAATGAATTTGCAATAGAAGTCACTAATAATATAAAAAGAACTCTCATGACATTTTAAAATGAATGAATTCTGTTTAGAAGATTATTTAAGTATTATTAAAACATTCCAGACAGAATACAGGTGCCTTAAAACTGACACAATAGATTTAGGAAAATAGGGCATGTATACAGGTGCTCCGGGAGTTAGGGGGGAGGAAGGGGGGGGAAGAATGGTACTTAAATTAGAGCCGCTTTAATTAAAGCACCCGGAACATCACGTGTACGAGCATCCCCATGCTCATAAAAAGGTGGTGGGGTGCTGAGTGAGCTTTAGTTAAAGTGCTCCCACCACCATTTTTCAGCGCACATGATGTTGCAATCTGCTGGAACATGGTAATTACCACGCTTCAGCAGACTTGATTAACTGAGTCTGCTGGAGTCTGCTCCAACACGCTGTAATTACTAGTTGACTCACTGTCCATAGTTTCTGCCCTCCTCACTATTTTGGTGTTTTAGGTTTTCTGCCTATTGCAGAAGGGCTAACATCACCAGACACATAGTCAAACCAGACACTGCAAGCTTCTTCACACAACACTGCTGATCCACTTTAAAAATAGTTGTGTGGTTGAGGATTAAAGAGAGGCACAGCCTAGTCCGTAATAAACTCTGCATCTCTGGGCAGTCTCTGCAAGACTCTGCAAGACTTGAGCAGTTTTACTCATTTCTCTGGTAGTTCTGTCACGCAGACAAGCATCTGCCAGATACCAAAAAAATTGTTTTGATTGTGATTCTGATCCTGAAATCTTAAGGTCTGCTTTGTTCAAAATTCTACTGCATATCCTAACTCTTTAATGCCTGTGGAGTTATCAGATTGTTCTGTAGTACGGATTCCTGACTCTTATACAAGCTACATGCTAGCATAGATTGGCATTATAGTGTTGGGGAAGAAGAACAAAAAAATTATTAAAACTAAGTTTAAAACGGTACACAGTACTATGGCTCAGTTTGCATCTTCTCTCATCTGTACATACATGGAGGGGACAAGCTGCAGAATCAAAGAAAGAAAATAATAGTCTAAAACAGGGCTTGGAAGCACACTCAACACTTTCTGCCACCCTCAACTTCCATGAGTACCTGAGACAAACAGCTATATCTTGTACGAGAGCATTGAAGGTAGTCAGTGTCACCTTTTTGCAGGGACAGACTGATTTAAGTCAACTTAACAATTGTACAAGAAAAGATACAAATCTACTGCATATGGGATATCTGTAGTAGCATCATATGTCCACAATCCCCCCCCATTTAGATATTCACACATATATACATAAAACCCAAACTTCACAAGAGAGAAACCTCAGATATTCAAAATATCCACTAAGAGAAACCTCAGACAATCCTCTCTCACCTGATTTGTCAGGAACCTAACTCTGTTTCCACTAAAGAATTCTTTCGGTTGAGCTCAGTGGCGTTAGAACAAACATCATGCAGAAGAAATTTTTTTACTTCCCGTCACAAAAAACCCGATAGATCTGGACAGCATTACTATTTCTGCACCTGTCCCTCCACAAGTAACAAGCAGCATGCAAACCTGTGCACACATATGCTCTTCAGAAACAAACCTAGATTTACATTTTAAGCTTAACAGTCTCCTCACCTGAGCTCAGAGGAGAAGATCTTCCTTCTAGACGAGGTTTGGTTTTTACAGCAGTGACAGTAGTGACTACAGTGCCACAGGGCATCACAGTTCGATCCTTCTCTACCTTAGTAGCGGGGAGCTGAACAGGAACTTGCCAGGACCTTAACTCACTGGGTTCAATATAGGAGAACTAGAAAAAAAAAGAAGAAAAAAAAAAGAAAAATCTGTATTTAGAAATAAGAACTGAAGCTTAAGAGAAATGGGCATGATTTCCATAATTCCAGCTGCTGTCCCTTTCTTCAGTTAAAATACCCAAATTATTCCTTAAAAACGTTTCCCTTTAGAAATCACAGCTTTTATTTGGAAGACAGGTAGGGTCAGATTCAGTGTTACTCTGCAGCTGCATACACTAGTGTTAAAGCAGCACACAGCTATTCTGATTTAGTAGCAGTTCACATCCACTTTGAGCTGGTGTGAATATACACAAGGCAGGACCTGCACTCTTCTGACCCTGAAAGCCCAAAATACAAGCATGTTGATACCTCTGCCGTGACAGATCCTAACACAGGGCTACCACAGCTGGGTCTGCTGTTCAGTGTAAAGCTCTGCTGTCCGGAAGGCTGCTTCTTGAACAAGTCTAAAGGTACTGCTGCCCATGCTGAAAAGGTACCTAAAATAAATGGGGAAAAAACACCACTATAAAGCCACATCTCAGCTTTCAAAATGACCATATCAATAAAGATATTGATAAGGTTCGAGGGAGAAAAGTAAAAGACCACTGCTACTTCAGACTGTTGCAGCACCTAATAGTGTAAGGAATAGTGCCCTTGGCCATAAGGATGGGTCTTGAGCACACCTTGTCTACCTACTCCTACTTGAACATGCCAAACCCAGGAAGTGTAAAAGAGTACCTATGTACATGTGTGCGTGCAAAAGGGAGGATGATATCCCAGAGCACCTTCAATGGCATATTTCTGAGCTGGGGTGCATGAGTGAGAGGGGTGTATTCAGGAGTCCTTGACCTTTCACAATAAAGGTACAGTGCAGACGTTCTGTATTGTGCTACAGAAGGTATGGGGGCGGTAGGGGTGGTGTTAATCTGAAAATAGCTCTAAAGAGGGAATTGAAGAAAAGCATTTGAATTCTTAAGTTTCTTCAGCTGCCTTTGTTTTATATTTTAAAGAAGGCCCTCTGGATTCCCATTAGATGGGCAAAATGCATTAAGAATGCTCTTCTACTGGTCTTTGAGTGGGGAGTTCAGATTCTCTCCCTCAAGTCACCACATATTTGTACCTCAGGGCTGTCCAACTCACTTGGCCCCATGGGCCAGATCCAGGCCTGCATGCTGCCTCTGGGCTGCCAGCTGGATAGTCCTGCTATACCTTTGTACCCATGAATGTTGGCAAGGTAACAAGTATGGGACAATTTATGGGAAGAGGCTAGGTTGGCAAGATCACTGGAGCATCACAAAGACACAATGTACCAAAACTGAACCAAAAAATCCCGCCTCAATGAATAACATGAGCACAGTGTCTATCAGTACCGTGCACAAGTATTGTACGTGCCAATTTGAGCATGATGGTATAGGCAATGAAATGAAGAAATGTACATTACATCATGATTTGGGCTGCTACTCATACACGCTGATCGTACAGCAAACGGTTACCACAATGTTTTTCCGGCTGAATGCACACGGCTTGGCTAGTTAATGGAGGAGAATTACACAAGCAATATAATGGAATGTCTGAACAGCTACTGTAATTAACCCAGCAGGAAATTCATTTCCAAGTGGCTACTGGTGAGAAGTGAGTTTGGCAAGGCAACAAGCACAGATTAAAGTTACGTTAATTTTGCTAACAGTACTGTTACAATCTAAGATGACACATTCTCCTTTACATTTATCCAGGTGTTACTCTTGGAAGACACAAAAATTCTACAGTGGCAAAACTACCAATTTCAACTAGTATCTTTAAGCAATAAAGCCAAGACCTCCATATTTAAAAAAGCAGACATTTCTGTCTTTTTACTGCCATATTGCAGCTTAGGGTCTGCAGATGAAAAGGTAAATCTTAAAAAAATGCCGTTTTACCAAAAAGAATCTGATAACAAACATCCCATATACTCTATAAATCCCTATCAACAATTAAAAACCTAAAATAATCAAAACATAAGCCCTTTCTTGAAGCAGAGTTCTGACTGGAAACTGAGAAGGCCAAAGACACCGTGAAATCCTTAGAAGATTTTATTACTGCTATCAATTTTCACATAAAAGGCACTCATACTTTAAACAGGCAGGAGCATGATGATCCAAAACAAACACAGGTTTGCACTAAAAGATGGTAAGAACATGATGCAGCAAACATTTGCAATAACTGGAAGAGTCTAGCAACAAATTTTGGTAAGCAACGATGCAAACTTAGTATCTAGAATTAAAACTTACACCCTTAATAATTGTTTTGAGGAAATTATTCTACAATTCAGGCAATTTCTGAGCTTTTCTTTCCCTCTAGACACACACATAAATTCTTTAAAAAAATGCTTCTTTGCATCCCAACACACGTACACAAAGCCCCCTACATTAACTTGCTGAAAAAAACTTTTTCCATCTTTTTGCTACATCACTATTTCTCCTCCAAAAACTCACTTATTTCCATTGAAAAAGAAATCTACGAACCAAGGGAATTTTTACAGTCCTAATTTCCAAAAGTGGGGGAAGTAACTCAATATGAAATATGCTAGCTATCCATACCATACTTGGTGTGGGCTACAGGGGATGACCTGGGGGGAGGGATCTGCAGATACAAGGTAACCTACGGGTTAGTGACCATCAATTGACTGGATTTCCAATCCGGCGAAGGGTGGAAAGATAACCGTAGGGCAGAAGTGATAGACTTCAGAAAGGCCAACTTCAATATGCTCCGGAGATTAGTTAACAAGGCACTGATGATCAGGAGCATTGGTGAGATGGGAGTCCAGGAAGGGTGGTCGTTTCTAAAGGGAGCGATCCTTCAGGAGCAGGAAGAGACAATCCCATTGTGCATGAAAGGAGGCAAAGGGGACAAAAACCCCTCTTGGCTGAACAGGGAAATCCAGGAAAGCCTAGGGGAGAAAAAACAGGCATACAGGCTGTGGAAGCAGGGGGTAGCTACCAAGGAGGAATATACCTACTTGGCTCACACTTGCAGGGAGTCAGTTAGAAAGGCCAAAGCTGCAATGGAACTTAGGCTGGTGATGAAAATTAAAGACAACAAAAAGTCCTTCTACAGGTATATAGGGAGCAAAAAGAAGGCACAGGCATAGGACCCCTACAGGGAAGACTAAGGCAATTGGTGACAGATAGGAGGGAAAAAGCTGAGCTCTTCAGTGAGTTTTTTGCTTCCGTATTCCTCAACATGGATCAGGACAAATCTCCCAATTGGATTAAAGACGAGCACAGGAGGGAAACCAGGCCACCAACTGTTAGTGCCAACTTAGCAAAGGGACACTTGGAGGGGCTGGATGTGTTTAAGTCAGCAGGCCCAAATGATCATCATCCAAGAGTGATGAAGGAACTGGCCAATGTCATAGCAGAACCACTGGCCAGGTTGTTTGAACACTCATAGTGCTCAGATCAGGTCCCAGAGGATTGGAAAAAGGCCAGTGTGGTCCCTATTTTCAAGAAGTGGAGGAAACAAGATCCGGGTAACTATAGGCCAGCCAGCCTCACCTCTGTCCTTGGGAAAACCTTTGAAAAAATTATTAAGATTATTAACATTTGTGGGAGAGTCCAGCAGGAAAAACAATGCTGAAGGGCAACCATCATGGGGTCATAGCAGGTAGATCCTGCCTCACTAACCTCGTTTTGTTTTATGACCAGGTCACAAAATGCTTAGATGCAGGGAACAAGGTAGATGTTATCTACCTGCATTTTAATAAGGCCTTCAATATGGTATCTCATCCTATTCTCACAGATAAACTGAGCAGCTGTGACATACATGATAACACAGTCAGGTGGATGGCAAATTGGCTAATACAGGCTTGTCCAACATACGGCCCGTGGGCCACCATGCAGCCTGCCAAGCCATTTTATCTGGTTGGGGCCGGCGGGTGGGGGAGGGGGGGGGAGCTGCCCCCCCCCGCGGGGCCGGGCTTGTCACGTGAGCTGGGTCCTGCCACTGCCGCCCTGAGGGCTGCACGGTGCGGGGCTGCCCCAGCCGCGCCTGACAGGATGAGCTGGGGACAGCACCGGCTTTTACTCCTTTCCGGCTCGGCCTCTTGCCCCCGGCATCCCACCCACCTCCGGGGATCCACTGGGCTCGGTGGCCGCGGGGTGTCAATGGGACATGGTGCTGTCTCGGACGGCCAGGGCCAACTCGAGTTACGCTCGTACGTCAGGGCGGGCTGGTGAATGGAGAGGCAGACACAACTTATTGGTTGCAAAAAACTTTACTCACGCTGCTTGCAATCACGACGCAGGTGGTCCGGTCGTCGGAACAACCACATGAGTTGCTCCAGCTGGCAGGGCCCAAGCCAGTTAATCCGTCCGCAATTCGAAGCCGGCGGGGAAAGGGGTACGTCAGGGTTGCGCTCGGTGACGGGAAGAAAGATCGATAGGTGATCAGTCTATCGATCAGCAGCCGCAAGTCAGATAACTTCAGAGGCACTCTGCAGCGTGCTCAAAGCTCTTCGACTTGGGCGGAAGTTGCGCGGAATTTTAAACGGCCAGCGAGCCAATTACTAGCCGCCACGTGTGAATAATTTAGCACTGGCCAATAGCGGGGCACAAATTTGCATCCGAATAGCGGGAACTCTTTGCACCGTGCATTTCTGTGCTGCAAAGAAGAAATGCATCCTGCAAAGGAAACTGCAAATTGGCGGGAACTCTCTCTTACACGCGGGTTCTCAATTGCAGCAGAACACTCTGCCGTGCAAAGGAGCTCTCATGTGGCCAGGAAATTCCATAGTGCCGAGGCACAAAAATCACTGGGTTGTGACAGGTGCCTGGAGCAGGCAGTTGGCAGGGCAACCCCGGGGGGGCCTCGGCAGGCAGGGTCCTGGTGTGACCTCTGCAGGGCAAGGCGGTGGGAGCTGGTGTCTGCTGGACCCCGTGCTCCGGGCTCGCAGCGCTGAGGCCGCCAGGGCTGCATGCACGGGCAGCCAGGCACCACGGTGAGCGGGGCTGTGCGGGTGAGGGGCTGCGGTGCAGCGGCCACCTCGCTCCAGCCCCCCTCAGGCAGCGCCGGCTTGTGGGGCTGTGCTGCTTGGGGGATGGGGATGTGGAGCTATTTATTTCTCCCCTTCAGTCTCTGGGGCAGTAGCTGGCTGGATGCAGAATGGGTCCCTCCTGCCCCTGCCAACCAGCAACCTTGCAGTAACAGGCAGGGGTAGTAGGGCTGCACAGGCAGGGTTTCTCTGGCCCAGGACAGAGGGTGTTTGAATATGGCTCACCGGCCCACTGGGTGATAAAAAGTTCATGATCTGGCTCCACATTCAAAAAGGTTGGACACCTCTGGGCTAACAGGATGTACCCGCAAAGTGGTCGTGGACGGATCACCATCGACCTGGAAAGATGTGAGCAGTGGAGTTCCCCAAGGTTTGGTCCTTGAACCAGTGCTGTTCAATGTCTTCATCAGTTACTTGGATGAAGGTATGAAGAGCACTCTGTCTAAATTTGCAGATGACACCAAATTATGGGGTAACATAAACACACTAGGGGGCAGGAAATGAATCCAGGCAGATCTGGACAGGTTGGAGAAGTGGGCAGAGTAGAATGGGATGCAATTCAACAAGGACAAATGCAAAGGGCTGCACCTAGGGAAAAGGAATCACCAACACACTTACAGGCTGGGGGATGACCCTCTCATCAGCACTATAGCAGAAAGGGATCTCTGAGTCATAGATGACTCCAAGATAAACATGAGCTGCCAATGTGATGAAGTGATTAGTAAAGCTAACTGCACTTTATAGTTGTCACGGCGGGGTCCTGCAGGAGGGCCGTGATCTCCTTAAGGCCCTCTCTCCGTGCCAATTCGGCCCAAGGGCACCCTCTATTCTCGCCCACCACGTCTTTGATGTTCAGTAAATATGTTGGGAGGCTGCCTTACGTCTCCTCGGCACGGTTAGTTGGGACTTCCGTCCCTGTGTTCTCCCTGACCCCACCAGGGGTCTCCCGGTACCCTGGGTGCGTTCCAGGCACCCTAGCCTTATGGGCTACGCGTGGCTCCTACCAACCCCTAATACCACGCCCCAAACCTCGCAGATGTGATAGATGTTGGTGTGTCTCTCTATACGTACACTGCCCCCTTCTCTGGGGCCTTCTCTCATAAGGCGCTCCCCTCTTCGGGGCTCACCGTGCCCACCTTGGGCTTCCTAAAATGCTGCCCCCTTCTCTGGGGTCTTTTCTAGCGCTGCCCCTCTTCTCTGGGGCCTCCCCTAAAAGTGTCGTCCCACTCAGGGACCCTTGCTCGCTCTGGGACCCTGTATCGAGCCTCCGGTCTTTCAGGCCCACTGCGCTGCTTCCCCTTTTCCAGGACACTGTGCTGCTATCCCCTTTCCCTCGG